CCGTTTATGATCTCTCTATACCCTAAATCCCTGACCCCGGAGGCCTTGTCACCACGCACGAAGCTTGCTTGCGCAAACTCTCGGGTAAGAACCGGCTCCAGAGCGGCGCTTGCTCCCACGAAGAGAGGCCGTGCCAAGTGGGCCTGCGCGGGAAGCAGCATTGTCACAGCGTAGCGCGGGAAGAAAACTTATGTATACACACGTATACGTAGATGTGTGTATGTATGTATATATATATATACAGAGGTATGTATACATGTGTGGCTTGTCAGAACTACTACGTATGAACCCACGTTATAATCATTCGCCGGATCATGATGACGGCCACGATCATGGTCACTACTGCCATCATGAGTCGTACTCTCCTTGTTCACACTGCAATCAATACAATGTTCCCCTAAATCCGAAACCCTGAACCCCAAACCTGCTACGAATCCGGCCTTGTCTTCTTCTTTCCCCAGCTTGCCTTCGAGAGGAGCCCATTCGACTTCAAGCAGGTCCTGGCTTTTCCTATTTGAAGGTTGAGAGTAAACGGCTACAGCATGGGGTTCTGTGCGTACACTGACACTTATTCGATTTGACATGGATGGAAGAAACTGCATGGTCCTCGTCGGCATCTCCGGCAGAAGCAGCCAGCATTTTTGCCTTAGGCCAATTCACGACACCGACCGTCACACGAATCGACCTAACAAGCAATGACAACGTCCCTTCAGGAAGCGGGGTGCGATGTGCTCCGGCCGCACTTCTCGTAGGCGCATACGATCCTGGGAGAAACTTGATTGAGTAGGGCTGTGACGGCAAGCGCCCACAGAAGAGTCTTTTCTTTGGCCAAGTCTGAGGCTGTGCAAGACTGCTCAGCTCGGAACGTCAGAGAACTGGATTTTGCGATAAGCAGACCCCGCTAGCAGGACCCTTGCGAGTCTTACGAGCCCAAGGCAAAGAGAAATGATTTGATCGTGCCGACCGTGATGATAATGCTGGGGACATTGGCGATGACGATGGTGTTCATGGCGACAGTGATCATGCTCATAATGATGAGGACGACCGTCGACGTCTGGGTAGTAATCATCATCAGGACCGTTATCACGCACCCATATGGATGTTGTTCCATATATTATGGTTGCAGCCCGTAATTTGAAAACCGCCTTGCGCTTCCCCCTTGCGTGCTCTGGCACGCACATGGCTTGAAACACATTCCCAACTCCTACTTGTAGGTACCTGTAGCTTCTTACCTTGCTTATCGCCCTTGCGCTCGCTTGCGCCGTGCTTGCTTTGTAGCAGGTCCTAAGCCTGCATCAAAATATTAAAGTGCGCTGTTCGCCTACGCTCAAGAGGCGAGGGGTTTAGAACAATTCTCATATGATTCTCACTACTGTTTAGTCCTGACTCTGAGCATGGCAGTGATTGCGCAGCTCCATGGGTTAGGTCCTACGTCTAGGTCAGCCCAGATGCCCTCACCCTTCTTGGCCTGCAGAGCCGTGAAGCCGTAAACCCGTCAAACACGGAGCCTTTAAACTGTGAGCCGACAAGATGAGCTGTGAGCCTCATGTTGAGCCCCAGTTCGGGCCAAACCCAAATACATCCCAATACCCTGGCGACATGATCACAAAATGTCCGTGCCCGGTAACCATCGTCAGGATCACCGTCAGGTCGTCTCGTGCCAGTTGCACGTTGGTCTCCTGAGGAAAATCGAGAAGTCACACAACAGATTGAGAATTAAACTGCGTACCAACGGTAAATTCGACAGCGGTGTCGGGAGAACGAGGGAGAAATACATTACATTCCGACCTATTATACCCCAGGTGTCAATGTTTCAGACGCGGCATCAAGGCCGGACTGCTCTGCGACAATACCCTTGGCGATCTCCGCGTTGTGCTGAGGCAGCCACCATCTGCTTCTCGCTGTTGTCCAGCAGAGTGTGGTGCACCCAAACCTGCAGACTGGACCTACATTCATGATGCTTGAGGCCTGTGATCGAGCTATGTTACGCATCCTAAAATACCCTGAACCCTAAAGCCCTAAACCCTAAAAACCCTACAACGTAGAGGTCATGTTGAATATCTTGATTCGCTGGTGGCTACGTGTGGGGATGCTTCGGGCGCAGAGTTAGTTGCGTGCACATTGTGATTTGTGTGATAGAAGCCTCATAGGAGCCATCGACCCTACTCGTAGCTCCGATAAGCCAGGTCAGGGCTTCGGGTTTAGACAAGGCTCTCGGATTCCTGCAAGGTTTGCAGAGGAAGTGACTTGGTGAGCCGGACCAAACGGCTGCTATCGTGTCCTGGCATAGCTTGGATGGAGCCCACGCCTCAATCCACTAGGCCCCACGGCCGGAAGGCTCAACCCTTAGCCGAAGCTCCTCTACAACACACGGAAACTGAGAGACCACCCAGGACCTTTCAAAATCCCTAACATAAGGGCCTTAGTCTTCTGCAGACTTCAGAGCCGTCATGCGGCGCGTCCATGGCAATTTGAATTCTGGTGAGACTGAAAACCGTTTGGCCGACGGTCCCAGAAAGTG